GCCACGCGCAACCCCGTGACCCCTTCGCGCGTTCGACAGTTCACGCAAGGTCCGTTTCCTCTCATGAAACGTGTCGACGCCTTCCTCTCCGCTCATGAAACTAGGAGTGGGAATGAACTCCATCCGACTTAAGTAGACGACACGTGTGTGGCAACAGAGTGACATCCATAGCTGAAAAATGCCTTGTGGCAGACGTTCCCGTCTACCGCTCTCGTATAGCCTTCGCTATTTCCAGCAGCGCATGACACATAAGCTTGCTAACTTCATTAGACGCAGCGCGGTGTTGCTTCTGGACCTCCACCTCCGCTTCGATAGCCTCACACTGCCGAATTTGAATGGAGCATTGCCTCTTGCTCGCACTCTCCATCGCCTCGCATTGCCTCCTGCTCGTGCTCTCCATCGTCGACGCCATCAACGCCCCATGCTTCTCCATGCACTCGCTTAAGGCCTCAAATGTTTGCTGCCCCACGTTTTTCCTCTTCCCGAAACCGGCCGGACTTCCAGTCGTCTGTGAGCCCCCACACGCTGAGCTGTTGTCTTCGTCGTTGCCATCTCCAAATGCATCCCTGTCCCCCATAGATTTCAGAGCTGCCGACTGTGCAGATGGGAGTTGCACACCTCCTGCGCCACCGGTGTCTGCAACATTGCTCGGGCTGATAGTGTGGCTCCTCTCCTTCGCCCCTTCGATCTCCTCGTATACGGCCCGATCCATGTTGAAGTTGAATCGTTTCTCTGCCCTCTGCTGACTCGTCAACTGGAAGAAGTCCTCCTTCCCCGACATGCCCATGAAAGTGTGGATCTTTTTGAACTGTTGCATGAGATTATCCCATTTCTTCCCGCATTTGTCTGCCGGCCTGTCAACACCGACCTTCAGCAACCTCTCCCGGACGTCCAACCATTTCCACTCCCTCGACCTCATCCATGCGAATGCGTGCCCCGCCGCTTGCAGTTGGGCGTCCTGATCCCGCTTCGCCCTTATGAGGGCCACCATGTGTTCCACAGACCAGAAATTATGGCCACCCTCCCTGTCCCCCTCACCTTCCGCATCAGCAGAGGTCGCCGACGGCCTCTTTCGCCTCCGCCCAACATTCGTCGAAGCCCTGCCTCTGCCGCCCCTGCCACCCATGTTCGGCGCATGCAACGGGAACACGTCACCACTGTCGTCCTCCTCAACGTCGCACTGAACTTCGTCACCGTCTGTCCAAACGTCACCCCCTCCGCCAACCGCGTCTGCTTGCCCGGCCCGCTCGCCCACGTGTAATCGCTGCACACCTTGCGTTATGGACTCTTCTTGCTGCCGCCGCAACTCCTGCCTCGACTCCTTCCATACCCGCCTGCCATCTCCATGCACGCCCTCGAAAGGGAAGTCTTCCTCAGTCACACCCTGTTCAACTGGACGAGGAACGTTGTCGCCGCCCCTGGAGAACGCAGGAGGGGGGTTCATCCACTCAGGGCGACCACCAGTGGTGCGTGGAATTGACGGGCCACAAGTCGCCTACAATCGAGGCCGCTCCCTCGTCTTCTCGGACGTCCCCTGAGGCGCAGAACCACCCCTCGTGCCCCTGCCGACCAATGTCACCTGCCCCGCGTCGTCGTTGGGATGAGGGTTCACGAGCACAGTGCGTGTGGCAGAAGATGGGTTCCCGCTCCGTAGGCCAAATGTGAGATCCACAGGGGGGAGGCGTTCCTCGTCCTGGGCACCTTCGTGGAGGAGGGAAGTGAACGACTGCTTGTACTTCGCTCCGCACCGATCATACAACTGGCTACCCGTCCATTCCTGGGTCGACCCGCTACCCAGAGGAACTGTGTTGGACACGTCCACGTCCGCCTCCCCCTCGTCCGAATCGGGCAGAGGCTGCATGTGAGGCGCGAGTCCTTCGTACGGCGATGGACCTGCCGCCCTTCTGTCTACACCGGTGCAGATTGCAGGCCGGTGACTGGGATAAGCGTCCGTCAACGTGGCAAGATTCGGCCGCCGCTCGTCCATGGCCATGCTCTTCCTCACCCCTCGTTTCCTGCGAGTACGTGAAGGCAACCTCCCTAATATGCACACCTGAACAAAGGCGACAACGAGAAGCGGAATCACGATGAGGAGGACCAGCGGCAGCTTGCGGAGCACGTTGGCCATGTAACACAACCGTTCTCGCAAGGGAAACTAACGACGACAACGCATGACAACGTAACGTCTACCCAGACGACGACAAACAGCAGACGTGCGTGGGCACGACTGGCAACGCCCTCTGCCTCTTTACATTGTGGACCACTGCGCGCGTTGACGGGCGTACGCCGCTGTGATTTTCGAATCGGCTGGCCGTTGGAGGCCTTCCCGTTTCCCGCCGGCGCTGGTGAGGGGCTGGGATAAACCGGAAACGGCCGGGGACCCCGTCCGCCACCCAACCTTACCGTTGCGATCGTTCCCGCCGGAGTCGAATGTTGTCGGCCGCTAATGTCCGCCCGCACCTTGGCTGGACCAGCAATGTACCAGACTACAAAATTATGACGTCGTCGAAGAGCGCCGTCGCCGTCCCGATTTTCGCGGAAACTCCCACTCCGAGGGACCTCACGAGGTACCTTGGGGAACACAGCCAAATGCCTGTAGCCCGGGGACGCCTCGACGACGCCCCGAGGAAATGTTTTCACATCGATTTCGAGGGAGCACTCTCCGAGGACAGATTGAACGATCAATTCCTCGGGATTTTTTAGCGCCCAAGGAGTGTCTAACGAGCCCCTTAGGGGCTCGTTAGACACTCCTCGGGGCGTCCTCGGGCTCCGAGGGGAAATCCTCGGGGCAGCCCGAGGATTTTCCCGCATTCGTTCCACTCGTCCCTCGGGACGATCCCCGAGGATGCTCCGAGGACTGGCCGCGGGGAGTCGTATAATGTTATACGCGGCCGCGGGACGAGTGTTTGGGCGGTGGTCCTTCGTCTGGTGTCCATCTGGCTGGACTTGGTCCACTGCGTATGGGTGGCGAATTTGAAAAGGGACTGCCGCCGCCATGGGAAAAAGAAAATTGAGCGCGCGCGCGTGTGATTTCAAAATTCGAAATTTGAATCGGACAAGTGTGGCGTCTGGTGCGGTGGGGCAGGGAGATGCGTGCGTGTGACGGCCCCATCGGGGAAGCGCAGGGGTGTTGCAGTGGGCGTCATGCGGAAACGGCCAATGGCCGTTTGGGCGTCAGCACAGACGTCGACACGTATTAGAAGACGTGACGCACCCTGGTTACGACAGCAGTAGTGAGCGCCGCCGCCATCTTGCGTGTTCCCGTTCGCGCATTCTGCCCCGAACGCCATCTCCGCGAACTTCTTCGTTGCCAGTGTCCATTGGTGGCGGCCTTGTGTCGTCGTTTGGGCGACTTCTGCCGGCATGGATGAGTGCGATGTCTTCGGTAGTCGATATGCTTTCGGTCGGTGACGGGGATGAGGGTGGGCCTAGGTTGTCCGATTTGGAGAGGGCTGCAGTGACATCCGCTGTCGCCGCCGTCATCATGCATTGCGAGACGGAGGTCGAGGGCGAACGACGGTGGGTACGGCTACGCGCTCGAAGAAGGAAGGTGATGCAGCCGCCGACGTGTGAAGGGTTGGATAGCGTCGGCATCTGTGACGCCGTGTTTGAGGTATGCTGCGCCCTGGGGTGTGGGGGACTGCGGAGGGCGACCCCGAGGTGATGGGTGAAACGAAGGACGGGGAAACTTGGGTGGATCTTCGGCCTGCAAACAGCCATTTCGTCAAAACGGACATATTATATTTTTTGAACGAAATCAAAACTGACTTTTTTTGCGAAAATCTGGTCAGAATTTTTTGCTCCTGGGGGTCCGGCGTTCCCAAAACGCCGGACCCCCTACATGTATCTGGTCTCAGCTTGAGACCAGATACCAAAAAAAAA